CCTTTTCTGTGGAACTTAAACTACATGAATTTTGGATTCATGGATAACATTTAGGCTTTGCCAGAAAAGATGTACAGCATATGTGAATTATTTTATTTTTTTTTTTTAGGTGATAATGAATCAAACAGACAAGAATCAACAGGAAGTCCCATCATACCTTCATGATGAACCACCAGAAGGTATGTATCAGTTTTCATAATATCAAGTACATTCACAGAATTTCATCAGAAGTTCAGATCTCTTTTTTAAAAAAAAAAAAAAAAATAAAAATTACGGCTCTGCAAGCTGAAGTCTTTAACTTCCATTCAGGTGTCAGTAAGCAAACCATCCCTGAGATGGGATGAGCCCAGATTATTGTTCGCTTCTCCATTATCACAGTTACAATAAGGCCACTGAATATAACTCGGTAAACACTGTACTGATACATTATAGAGAAGATGGACAGATAATGAAGGACATAATTTGCAGATTCATTTGCAGAGATGTGATTTGGTTCAATAGGTATTTATTTCTGCTCTTCATTATGTGAGATGGAAAGAGCCCAGCTTCACTTCTGGATACCTTGCTGAGTTCATAGTGCTTGCAACTTCTAAACAAGATGTGTTTAAAATTGTATGGAACTTCATTACTATTTGGAGACCCTGTTCCATCATACAATTAACTGTGGTTCTAATTGTTTACTTAATCTCATGGTTTCCTAAAAACAAAAAAAACACTGGACTTCATTAATGCAATGGCATCTTGGTCTCCTGAACCAAATGAATCTTAAATCAGTTGTTAGATCTGCAGAAGAAATGCAGTTGCAAATGGGCAGGCTTCCCTTCCAGGCTGTGGAGCGGCAAGACTGTGAATAGTTCTGTTTGCATAATGTGGCCGGAAGCATACTTGATCAAAAGCCATTCTTGGCATATAGGTTGTCTGTGTTCTGTCTTTTCTTGCTTTAAGACTAAATGTGTTGGATGTAGAAGTTGGTGAGTCCCAATTCCTCTCGGTTCATTGCTCTTCAATTTATAATGGCCCTTTAAAGCTCTGTTTGTTGGTTTGAGGTTTTTTTCTCTTAGCTTTTATATGTTGTATAACTGAACAATTTACTTCACTCGAACAGTATTATCCACTAACAGTAGCAGAAGTGTTGAAGTGGAATAGCTCACTGTTCTTAACAACTATTAGGCAGGAAACACAAGTACAAGAAGATGAGAGGAAAGGGAAAAATAGATTTTCATGGCACGGAGGTTCTTAAGCTTTACTATGCTTCAACTTATTACAGTATCATGGTGTGAGGACAAAAATCTATCTTTTTAAGCTCTTCAGGGTTGTCAGGATCCAGAAGCATTTCTGAAAACAAATGCCAGGTTGGAAACTATGCCCAAATGTGTATTATCTTCAATTTTTAAGGGGTTTTTTTTTTGCCTTAAAGATTGAATTGTGTTTTATACATGTTAAGTCTCACATATAGAAGGTGAACAGTGGTCTGACTGGTAAACTACAATTGTTTCTTTCTTGAGGGAGGCAGTGACACAAGTGGACATTTTTTATCTTCCTAGACTATTTAGTAGCTTGTCCAGATTTGCAGCATAACAGCAGATTCTGATCATCCCTAGGTATTGAAAGATTTAATTTAAAATTTGTGAGCAATTAAGACTGATTTTCTTCTGCACAGTATCTTCTTTTAGTATGACAATAACCAATTTGAATATCAAGTCTAAATAGATGGAGAAAGTTGGTGTAGTTAGAGGGAGTAGAATGAAGCACAGTTCATCTTAATGGAAACCCCATCCTTGAAAAGGCTTCTTCCTTTCGAGTCTGTTTCACATGCACTCTTCAAGTCTTATGAGTTTAGTTAAAATGTTGGAATACTCTTGAGGAACATCCCTGTTCTAAGTGTCATATAGGGCCTTCATATTCAGTACACTTACACCACAGTAGAAAGAAGGCCAAATGTGGATGGAAGGCTACCAGTTCAATGTTGGCAAGATCGCCTCTCTGAACAGGCTGCCAAAAAAAATCCTTAGAGGAAAGGCTCAATTCCAAACCCAATTTGCAGTCTCTCATAAAGGTAAAAATAGTTCCAGTTTGTCCAAATCACACTTGACAAGCTTGGTGCCTAAAGGCGTTAAAGAAATACATATGTAGAAGAAGCTTTTGTGCTCACGCTTTCTATGAGTAGTGCTATTCTAATGCTTTGTTTTCTGCTTTGCAAGTGGTACCAACCTTTGCAACCTACGTTCATTCAAACTCTTGTTCGTTGTTGGACACTCTTCAGCAGGAAGCTGGCTGCAACAGAGCATGGTAGAGCCAACCCCTGAACAGGGACTTGTGTCATTTTCTCCCTAGATTTAGGAATGGTCTGTTCTACCTTCTTTCTCATACTGGTTAGGAACAAGGAGATGAGGAATATGTATGCTAGAATAGAAATCAGCTGGCAATAAAAACGTTACAGCTGCGGGCGTTTACTACATCCAATGGACAGTGCAAACAAGAATGAAATGGGAGTGTGTCAGCCATCACCAGAAGTTATTAATACACCATGTCACAGTCAGTGTTTACACTTGTGAAGTGGAATAGGTGTTGTCAAAGGATTGGCTACCTGAACTAATGTGAGGAAAAGCATGTCAGGATTACTTTTTGTTTGTTTGTTTCTCTTGTTACTTTTTAAGTTAGCTATGATGGGTCCTTTCTTGCTAATACCGGGTCTGATGTACTAAAATCAGCTCTTAAAATTCAGTGTGATAAGACTTTACTGACATTCACCCTGATAATGGTGATCCAGTTGTGTGGAAGTGCGTCTCTTTCTGATGAAATTTTTTACAAGGCGTGCAAGTCTGGTCACAGGAATCCTGTAATGAGTACTACCTAGACAGTAGATTTTATACCGGGCTCTATATACTCCTCTCTGAGAGTGATCCTTTAAAGGTTTTCTGTATGTAAATAGAAATTCTGATCTCTATGTCCTTGTGTTGACAATGCATTTTTTTCTGGAGTTGTCCAGTTTGAAAGTTGCTGGCCTAGAATGAACCAGCAAGGGTATTACTTGGCTTTAAGTAAAAGGCTGTCAGTTATGGTTCTAGTTTCTGTGATTCTTTCTGTTGTCTATATCAATTTCTTCTATAAAAAAGACTAGTGTAAGCTGGAAGCATTTTTAGTATTTTTTTCTCCCTCGAGCTGCATTGTTCTTATTTATGCATTTTTTCCCTTTTGTCAAACTTGTAAGAAATTCTCTTCTTTAGATGGCATCTTATCTTAGAATCTTAGAACGGTTCATCTAATTCCAACTCCTGCCGTTTGTTTGCATTATTCTGGGCACGCACATGGGAACTCCAAACTTCACACTTTTTTAATGAAGTCTGAGTGCCCTATCACAAACTCATTGGACGTGCATGGGAAGTTGCTCAGCCTAGTTTCCATCTTGTAGTAGATAAGTGCTGGGAGATGACTCTTGGAAACTGTCCTCTGAATGCGAGTTTTCAGCATTCAGGGCACTGGAGGCAAAGACCTGTTCTGCTGGTTCTCCTAAAGCATGATGTAGCACAGAGTGAATGCGTTGACAGGGGCTGGGTATAGGTCTCTGGTGGATCTAGATCTGATTTTTGTTCTTCTCTTCCAGGCATGCTCTTTCTGCTGCTGACTCCCTCACCTCTTTATTTCATGTTTGTTTCTTCCCTAGCTCTGCCCACTGTGGCTCGACTTGTTCTTTTCTTGGTTCCCCCTGTTGTTTTCCCCCTAAGAAAGGGAAATGTGTCTGTTAAATCCCATATATTACCCAGAGCTAGCTAGAAAATACAAAAAAACCTCTGGAACTCTTACATTACTTATGTTAACTAGCTGTCTGTTGCCATGGTTCCCTCTGAAACTTTTTTAAGACGTATTTGGGGTTGGTGAAGAATTGACAAGACAAGAGCTGAAAAACGCTTACCTGCACATTTTTGTCAAGACCAGAGATTTGTCAAGACCAGAGATTTCTCAAGGTACACATTGAAAATACCTTACAGACAAACATGTGTGAGGGCTGCTACTTTATAGGTGCAGTAGGCGATACTTTCCTGTGTGCTTAAATGCAACATTAACATACTGTTTCATCTTCCTATTTCTTCTTTGAAGTTTAGATGATGCTTATGCTGTAGCAGGGTGTGGAGTTGCAGTCTTATGTCCCTTTAGAAGCAAGGTGCATGTATCTCTAGGATTTTGAAGCCTACATTTAGAAATATGAAGTAATTGCTAAACTTCTGGAAGGCTAAGTGGCCAAATCTAGGAGTCTTTCTGTTACTCTAATACTTTACAATTACATAGCCTCAAAATAATATACCCTAAATATGGAATAGGATTTGACTTCCACAGCGTATAGTGAGAAACTGTTTGGTTTTGTGCATCATATTGGGGCTTCTGTTGTGAGCCTGTAACTCTCGCTATTGTTAATGCCTCTGGGGGCCACTTTTGGTATTTAATGAGCTTATTTGGCAATTGGACACTTCCTCTTTCCCCCCTTTCCCCCCACCAAAATTACAGAAAAGGCCTTTTTGGAAGAAAATTAAATTTCTGTATGTGATGAAAAAAGGGGTTACATAGTGAAGAGCTGGCATCAGTTTTGTCCTCACTCTTGTATTGACTCCTCTGATTGCTCTCTTGCTTGTAACCTTCTTTCCCTCTTTCCTGACCCCTGCACACAGCCCTTGTAAACACATCTTCAAAACAGAAATTACAAAGGAAAGAAGCAACTTTGTCTTAAGGTGAGCTCATTTCAAACAACAGCTCCTTTTCTTTAATAAAGCTTTGGCTCTGCTTCTCTGGAAAACTTTTTGCAGTCCTTCCTTAGAGATTTGAACAGCAAGGTAGTGCTGCTGCTTTTGCGGGTCCGCCCCCTCTGTGGCTTAACTCTTAATGTTAGGATGGATCGAACAGGAAGGTGTGTCATCCTCCCCATTAATAAAGTCCAGAAACGAGGCTGATGTGGCCATGAGACCTTCCAGAGTCTGGGAAGATAGTGGTGCATACAGAGGACAGAAGTTTATCACATAAGACTGTCTGGGAGCTATATGCCTGGTATTTGTAGACTCAGTATTGTCTTGTATTTTAGAAAACAGCATCGAGGTATGTCTCACTGCAGCAAAGTGTCTTTTCTTATTTGGAACTATGGTGGTGTACGAGCATCCAGAAAAACTAACCTGCAGGGTAAATATGTGCAATGGCCATGAGGCTAGAAAAGGAAATACTTAAGAGTAACTTTTCTTTTGAAAATGTTTTGATCATAGCACTGTGATTGATCTGCTTGTTGTTTCCTCTCTTAGGTTCATTAAAAGACCACCCACAGCAGCAGCCTGGCATGCTTTCTCGTGTGACTGGTGGCCTCTTCAGTGTCACGAAGGGAGCTGTTGGTGCCACGATCGGGGGTGTTGCTTGGATTGGAGGGAAGAGCTTGGAAATTACCAAAACAGCGGTCACATCTGTGCCTTCAATGGGAGTGGGGCTAGTCAAAGGAAGTGTTTCTGCTGTGGCTGGAGGTGTTACAGCTGTAGGATCTGCTGTTGCAAGTAAAGTGCCTTTAACAGGAAAGAAAAAGGATAAGTCTGACTAAAACCAAACAGAGACATACTTGATTCTCCAGAATATTACATCAGTGGCATTAAAATCTGCTAAGATTTGGACCATGAGAAGCCATGTGTCTTAGACACTTCATCTTCTAGAGAGCTGTGCAAGTAACCTGATTTCATCTGTAAAAGACAGAAGAAGCTTGGCTAGCACAGAGTATGAAGATTTATTAGAGCCTAGATTGAAGCTTTGTATCTGGTGAAATGTTACACTTGATAACTATAGAAGTGAGTAAGTGTATCTGAAGGGATAATATGTATTTGAATATTCATTTACTGTAAGTCTTTTGCAGTTTTGGACTAAAATGTGAACATAGAAACTTGGTAATCTCTGCCGTACCATCAATATGACGAGATGCCATTTACTGTTCTCAGTGGTTTCCACATCCTCCTGCTAAGGATCCTTCAGCTGTGTAATGGCTTGGTTGGACATACCCGAATAGTTTCAGTTATGAAACTATTTGCAGACAGCCTGTAAATTATTAATGACTGCATTCTGCCAGTGCGGACTGGAGCAAATAACTGGACGTGTGCAGAAATTGGAAGCGAGAGTGGGAGATAGAAATGAGAAAGTTTGACAATGTGGTAGAAGGGATCATAAAGAGTAAACTAACTTAATGCCTTATTAGAAAAAAATATGTTTTTACTAGGTGAAGCTGTGTTTAAAAAAAAAAAAAAACACAAAAAAAAACACCACAAAAAAAACCCCAAACAAACAAAAAAAACCCAAACAAAAAAAAAAAACAAAAAACCCCTATCCTGTCATTTCAGTGCAGTTCACAGAAGGAGCTTTAGACTCTCCTTACGAATCCTGGTATCTGAAACTTTGTCAATTTTTACTGAAAACAAGATTGTTCTATCTCAGGTGTATTTAATGATATGCATCTTTCTCTCCTGCAAGCGAAAACTTGCTTCTAATAAACTTTTTATAGACACTAGAAAAAATGAGGGCTTAATGGAAACTGGGCTGATGTTTGTGGTCACCTAGCACAACTATCTGACTTGAAAGAAATTCCTTTGTGTAGTTGGAAACCACTGAAGAACTAGCAAAGCTGTTGTCTCAACTCCATGGTGCGCCAGGTTAGCTTCTTGCTCTGTTTAAGCAAATGCAAAGAATTTTTCACTACATCTTTCTCTCATACTTTGCATTTTGATTTTTTGAATAAAATGCAATACGCTTATTTAAAACAAACCAAAAAAGGTAGATGAGGCCTTAAAAAAAATAAAAAATAAAAAAAATCATCCAAGTAAACTGTATACTGACAGATTCCAAGCGTTGACACACCTCAGATGGGAACATCTGCAGGTCCTCTGCAGCGTGTTAGGCAAAATGCACTTGTAATGAGCTTGAGGTTGCCTTAAAATAGAAGCTGTTGGTGATCTTTTTTGTGTGTGTGCATGCGTGTACTGACTTTGCAAATAAGTAACCTCTTTGGAAGCCCATAGAAGACTGTGAATGTTGTGTATGCAGTATTTTCTAAAAACTTGTGTTCCTACAGAGAACTTGCAAGGATATATAGGGAGACTTTTTAGAAATGAAAAAAAAAAATTAAAACACATCACTTGTCTAAAACTTAGTCCTATATTCATGGGTCTTGAAAGTATACTATGTGTAAATTATGGTACAGTAGTCACCTCATGTCTCTGAGCCATTGGTACTTCAGCTGCAGCCTGGAACAACTTTATTTGATACCGCTAATTGTTGTATATGTTGGTAGCACGTTATTCATAAGCATGGGCATTTGGGATGACGGGCAGAGCAAAAACCCAGCAAATGGAATTCTCTGCTCCGTTAGTTAGTTGCAGCAGCTGCTTAGCTCCATTCTGCTGCAAGGGTGTAATGAGGTAAGTTTATGCAACAAATGGAAGACTGTAACTGTGTTTGATAGTCAAAAGCTCATTGCATAGAATATAGAATAGTGTAGTTTAAGGATATCACCAGTTAGCTTGAGAAATGAGCTAGCTTGCATATCGGAGGCAATCTAGCTGCGGCAATAACTTAGTATTGTCTGCTCCCTTGCAGTTTCCAATGTAGATGTATCCCCAGAGTGCTACCACTGAACTCAAGAGTCGCCTGTTTGGAGCATAGTGATATTTGTGACGATCAACCAAACCCTTCGTAATTGTTTTCTGAAAACATAAATATTGAACTGGTCATCCCTTCCCTCTCGCCTCCCCCCCCTTTTTTTATGACATTCTCTAATTTTTATACTATGAAACTTGCTGCAAAACAAGCGTGGTCTGAGATGAGCGATGTTAGATCTGTAAAGAGCTGCCAACACTTCATTATGTTTTGTTCTTAACGTACCCTGTAGTTGTTACTTCTGAATCTTGTAACTGAAACACTTTAACATGGCATATGGTTTTAGTTTTCAAAAAGAGCTTTTGTCCTATATCCTGCATATTTTCCATTCACTTATGAAACTTGCTTCGTCTTAAGAACTTGTTCTGATTCTGTCCTGACACTTGTGAAACATTAAATTGTTGCTGTTTCAGACATTTGAAAGCTTCCTAATTAATTTGTGGAGAAAGGCATACTTAGGTATAAATCTTTCCACTGTATCATGCCCCAGAGTGTCTTTTATCTGCATCTGAATAGCACCAGCCAGCTCTTAAAAAATGTAACTTCACTGTGTTGTTGGCGCTGCATAGACACAAAATTCCTTGTACTATTTTATTTTATTTTTTTACCTGGGAACTGAGGCTTGGGGATACCTGCTTTTAAGATCATAGTGAGCTGAATGGAATATGGAACTGGAATTTTCAGGCGGAGTGGGGTGGTTCTTGTGTTTTGGGGTTGGTTTTGTGGTGATTTTATTTTACTTCCCTTTTCCCAGCCCTCATTTCGTAAGGGGAAATGTTTATGAATACTACCTGTATGCCTGACTGCTTGCTATGTAACAAAACGCTGGTCTACAGGCTTTTATGTGCCAGACTTAAACGGTATAAACTGGTTCACATTCACTGTGAGTAACAGCAAGAGATGAGGAAGGGGATTTCAGCAATACAACATTTTGGTAATTGGGAGCTTCCCTGAGGTTTTACTACAAATGAATTCTGTGAAGAAGACAGAAACAGGTCCCGGGCGTAGAGTTGTGTATGAAGGATTGAATTAATCTTGGTCTGCTGGTAGACAAAAGGAGTCTTTCTGTTTATGCTTTTGTTTTGAAAGGGGAGGAGGAGAAATTGAAACATTCAGAATGGAAAATGAGTTTGTGGTAACTCAGGCTGTGACTCAATTAAGGAAATAAGTCTCTTGTCTGTTTTGTCCGTTGCCACTGGAAATTAAGTAACGGGAATAAGCTGTTTCAGGAACTTTTAAAAGACACCTGTAGAAATGCTGAAACTAAATTTTCAGGGAGAACATTGTTTTATGTCTCGGTTTCCTTTTCATCCCAAACCACCAATCAGTTCTGTGGTTCAGCTTTAGAAACTATTATGAATAGCTTCAGTGAGCTGAAATGCCCCCTTGTGTCTGAGGGGAAGGATGCTTTTGAATTCAAATAATGTTGTGGTCTGCTTAATAGTTGAGCACTGAAGGACAGTCAGAAAGTGGCAAAGGCAAGTTCCTATGAATTTTTAATATGGCTGTCTTCCCAGTTTCCTCTTGGAAAATGATAATGTGTTTTGACGAGTCAGCAAAGAAATGGCTTAGTATGACAACCTGACTTCTACCATGCTAGTGATACGTGCCGCCTCTTGAATTCTCGCCACTGTCACGCATGCTCTTACAGGAGCACTGTTTACCCCCACAAGCTGCTGTCACGTCCGCACTCGCCTGCACGGCGGTGAGTTTAAGACCTTCAGCTGTTGAGATCTTGGCACTGCTCTGACCAGATGTTTCTAGCCCTTCCCAAGCTTGCAGCGGGTAATTTGGCAGGCTATATAAAATCATCAACTTGCAGCCCACCCTCTAAACAAGTAATTCAATACCAGCTTTCCTCAGCAATTTAAAACTTCTCCTTAAGAAAAGGAACCCTGGACTTGCTGCCAAAATGTCTGCTAAAAATGACCTTGAAGAATGGCCTGGAGTGGGATGGGAGGGGCGTGACTGTTTTTTCTCCTGCTGTCAAGAGGGAACGTGTATGGAATAGTTGCTTAGGAAAGCGTTCCTGAGAAATAAAATCACTGATGATCCTAATTCTATTGAGATGATCATCAGTGATGCTACTAATATATATTACCATTCACAGCCCATAAATGAAAATAAATAAAATTCCCTGAGAACTTAAACACTGTCAGATAGTTACTATTTTGAAAGCCAGCACTTGTCAACAATTAACCATACGGTGATATCTGAGAAGCAGTGTCACCCGTATATTTAGAAACTGTGGCAGCTGTTTGCAAATCTGGTAGTCATTTTTCATTGCCAGTGGTTTACAGACTAGAGCTTTTTTACACCTAATATAACAGCATGATTTTTTTCCTTTCTCTTGCACTCAGTTGAGACTTACTTGAGTCTCTCTCTAATCTTTTTTCTCCCTGAGCCTTGCTAGAAAAGAAGAAATTAAGAACTAGACAATAGCAATAAATGTATTTCCTCCTGCCCCAAACCTTTTGCAAAAGGTGCATATTTTGAAGTCTCAGAATGAAGTCTCAGCTGGGGAAGGACTTTTTACTAGGGCATGTAGTGATAGGATGAGGGGGAATGGCTTTAAACTGGAAGAGGGCAGGTTTAGATTAAACATTAGGAAGAAGTTTTTCACTCTGAGGGTGGTAAGGCACTGGAACAGGTTGCCCAGAGAGGCTGTTGAGGCCCCATCCCTGGAGGTGTTCAAGGCCAGGCTGGATGTGGCCTTGGGCAACCTGGTCTAGTCGGAGGTGTCCCTGCCCATGACATGGAGGTTGGAACTTGATGACCTTCAAGGTCCTTTCCAACCTAAACCATTCTATGATTCTATGAAATTTAAAGGAGGTTGTCTCATAGTTCCTTTGCATTATGGTTTGTACACAAACATACTAGGGCCTCACTGTAGCAGTCACTAAATAAAAATACAGTGTCCTGCCCCCTGTTCTCAGACTGCACTCTAGCTAGGCTCTTCTATCCAAGAGGTAAAGTCTGCTGCAGTTCAGGGTCTGAGAGCTCGAGCTACTTATTTCAGCAATAAGGAACGGAACTCCAGAAGAGTCTCCAAAACTCAGTGAACTGGTGGGTCGACGAACACTGGCTGGAAAAATAACCCTCCTTTTCTCTTTCTCAGATAAAGATTGCAATAATCACTACCACAGGGTGGACTGTGCAGTGACAGAGCTGAAAATCCAAAGCAGTTAGCCTTGTTAGATAACAAAATATAACAGAAACAAAAAAACATGTGAGGTACTCCCTGGGGAAAAAAGGTAACCTTTATCATAACCAGGTTCTATGATATTCTTTGAAAGCATTAGAAAGCTACAATGGTATAATGAAGTTGTGCCTAACACCCAGTCCAGGACAAAGTACAGTGTAAGACTACAATCTGGTCAAGATTACTTTTGTTTTGGCTCTTCTCAAAGAACCAACATCTCTGCTCTCTTTGATAGTTTTCTTTTGTGTAATTTAAAGGACAGCATTAAAATTAATCTTCGATGTTGACAGGAGCAACAGGATTAAAAATTGGTCTCTCCTTCTTTGATTGTATCTTGCCGTAATTGACTTCAAAATCTTTCTTAGTACCGTTCAAGCTTTCTAGAGTTCCAGTCTTTATATCGTATCCCAAAGCAGAGAGTTTTTTAATTCGGTACTGAACAATTTGCGTTGTCAATTCCAGCACCATCGGCGTCTCTCTAATCTGTGCTACAGAAATTCCTTCCTTCAGTAGTCCTTCAAGTCTTTCTTCCAAAACTGGAACAGAATAGTAGAGAAGGGCTGGGCATTTCAGCACTAGCTGTTTTAATTCTTGATTACTGCACTCAAAGACATTTTGGGAAAAAAGCATACTCTTCTGCATAGTAGTAGGACTAAGTTGAAAAATGAAACCTTTAAGTTTAGACAGCAGCTGTAGTACTTCATGGTCGGTGAAACCATTCTTCTGGAGAAATTCCAAGTTCTCCTGGATTGCAGTGGAGGTATTTAATAAAATAAATGGATTTTGGCTCAATAGCTTCAGTATCCAGATCTTCATATTTGCATCAGAACCTCCTAAACTTAAATAACTTCTTTGTAATGTATCTATCACATTTTTGTTTTTCTCAACAGGATTGTAGAAAATATTGGGTGCGCTTGTCAAGAACCTGGTGATTATGTTATTCTTAAGTCCCAACTCTTGAAAAAACAGTATATTTGCCTTCTGGTTCTCATGATACTCAGTAGTGAAAAAAGACTCTGGAAATTGCTCTATTAATTTAATCAACTGGCTTTCATTCTGACATACTAATTGCCATAGAGCTCTTTGAGAGTTTATCTCTGCAGGGGTATGGAGAATTGCCTCTGGGCAGCGTTCTAAAATGTTGGCTACAGCAGTCTTGTCCGCTCCCATTTCTTGTAAGATACCAGCAATTTCTTTAACATAGGCCACATCCTGGAGAAGGACCCATTCCTTTAGTCTGCGTATTTTCTTAATGTCGACTGACAATGTGTGGAGACTCTCAATGGTTTTTTTATTTTCCTCTCTTGATTTTGTGTCAGTTGTGTAATTGGAATGTATTGGGAAGCTTCTGTTTGCTACTTCCATCCATACAGATGAAAAATTCAGTCCTGGGTTACAGTACTGAGATCTCATCAACAGTAGAGTAAATATATCTTTTGCACCGTGAGCGACTCCTCTCAACATCGTGGAATTCAGTCCTATGGAAAGAGAACAACAACTATATGAAAACACATTTAAGGCACAAGTTATACCTCATAATGTTCTCAGAGACATTGATACTTAGACTGAGCTGGCATAAGAGATTACTCTCAACAGTGTTTTTTGTTATTAGCACGAAAGTCAGCTTTCATGTGAAAGTGGGGGGGGGGGTAAGACTTTTGAAAGGTTAATGTTCTGATGGGTGCCTCACTGGAACAATGACGTGGATGCGACAGACCTGATGTGGGGGCAGCGCTCTGTCCATATAAATGCTTGCAGTCATACAACAACTAAACTGTCAGCCGTTTCCTGCAGCTAATGTTGTTAATTACATTACAGCTCATTCGCACTATGCTAGAAAAATGTTTCATGCAATTTAATGTGACAGGAATTCTACTAAATGAATTTTTAAAAAAGCAGCTTAAATATCTTTCTTAACTCTTTTGAATGTATTTGCTTAACTTCTCAGGCATTGTTTGGAGGGTGACTTGTTCCTTCGTGTGTCAGAGAACCCCCTGGTGCTCCTTCAGCAGCAGTTTATAGCTTAACTGCGTTGTGAAATCATTCTTGTTGTAATTAACGGGGAAAAAATCATCAAAACCTTTATGTATGTGTCTTTCACTAGCCGAGTCTGTTAATTGGGTTCTGAATCAGCACACTGGTATTTTGGGGGGAGGACGCAAGTACACTCTAACATCTTCAGGCCTTCACTTGCCTCTTCCAGCACCTGCTTTGCTACAGCTGCCCTTGGCACTGATGCCTCATTTCTGTCTCCAGGTCACTTCTGTCACTGCCAGCCACCCCCAGTAGGAAGAGAGTCCTCGTGGAATAGATGCGTGGCTGTGCTGGGCTCCAGACAGCACCCCTAAGGGTAGTGGTGGGTAACCCCAGACCCCACCTTCGCTCAAACTGCCTTCCAGGTATCGACAACAGCACTGCTCTGCAATGGCCAAAGGAGCCGCAGCAGTCAAACAAAGATACCATCAAGTGTATCTTTAACTTCCCAGGTGGTGTTTTCATAACAACCTTTTGGAAGCACGGAGCGTGAAACGGAGAATTGCTGGTCTGTGAAATACTCGCACAAATTGCTGCTGCTGGTAACATGCTTGAAACGGCTCAAATTGAAAATGAGAAAAAAAAAATAAAAACCCAATTTGTGCATTTGACATCTCTATTTATACAGTTGCTTTCACCTCTCCCAAAGTGTACCATACTTCAAAACGTACACATGTGAGCATTAGGTTAAATTAAGGTTTTTGTAGGAGAGAAAAGCCTGTTACGATCATGCAGCCTAACCTCCTAGATAACAGACCAAGACGCCTATTGCAGGAACAGCTATACAAGACCCCTAGAATCTTCTTTATAACCCATCTTTTAAGAAAATATGTGGTTTGTTTAGAGAACTTAAGTGATAGAGCCTCTATCTAGTTACCAGGTAAGGTTAAACATTTTCCAGGGGTAAAATACTTCATCTCAAGATAAGTGTACCTTTGCTTATAAGTTGATGTTTTTCAGCTTCTAAAAGCTGGACTCCTGTTATGTTACTACATCATAAACTAATAGAATAGGACACAATTTCCTATATGCAAGCTTATGTCATTAACAGAAGCTGTTTATCAGTGACTTGTTTTTTAGTATTATTTTAAATCTCTGAGGCAAAATCTGATTGCCTAATGAAGCTGCTTGTGGCATAACCTCAGGGCTAATGATTTTATCTTCATAAACTTTGTGACTTGAAGTGCTGTCCAGCAAGTTCCACCTCAGAACAAGCGATTTTTCCCAAGAGCCCTGAAAGCACTAAACGTGTAGGTAAGTCACAGACTTTTCGTGTGCTGACCTTTCCACGTCCTGAAAAAGGGACTGTTTCACAGGGACTGCAAACTGAAGCCTCTTGAGTGGACCTATTGAATTGAGTGGGTCCAGTCAGAGTAAGTAAATCTCTGGAGGATCAGGGCTTTCTTCATTAATGCTTCAGCTCAGCTGGAAACTGTCAGCAAAATAAAGTACTGTTTCAATTGTTTGGGATGTCAGATGATACTTCCAAAGTACAAACTGGAAAAATAACTAACCGTGACTTTTACTTCAATGTGTAATCCTGCTGTTAAACAAAATTGCCTTGTGAGTAACGCAGTCGCTTAAAATACAGTCATTTTATCTATTATAGAGCTTTTAAAAAATTCTGATATAGTAAATTGTGCTCTTCCAAGATCTGACACAGAAATGATTGTTATGTGCACTTAAAAGAAACTTTATGTCTGAAAATCTTTGACATCACAGTCAATTTTTTTTTCCTGTTGTTAATGACGATCATCCATGCAGAAACACAGAATACTATAAAAGGAAGGAAAACTTTATTTGCTAAGCCACATTTGACGGGTACTCAGGAGCCCTTGTAAAGCACTAAGCAAAATATAACATGCAAAATAAGATTAATGGATTTTAATGTCATGGTGTTCTACAGAAAATTAGAAGACTATTAAGAGTTATGATTTGGTGTATTTCAGAGTCCATAAATGACAGTATCACATTTCCAGGGTATGTAACCTATTCCAAGAGTTCAGAGTTCTCTTAAAGCTCATGCTGGACTACTGGTCTAATATGCAGGACCCCACTGCAGCTTTTTACATACCTGTATTGCTGTGGGGATTGTAAATCAATTGAGAGATTAAGGAAAAAAAACCAGCCAGTTTAGATGAGACGTTTGCTCTCACTGCCAGCAGCACCCTCTTATCGCCAGGTGTCATAACAGCAATAAGGAAGTGAACTAATGTCTACCTGGAAGTTATCTGTGATCCTGCTTGTTAGCACACTTATAGTGACCTATACCTACAGATTAAAGGGGTGCTGTAAGTTCCATTATTTAATGAGACTCCATATGTATGTCTTCTACAGATGGATATTAGGATCAACTGGCTGATTCATCCCTCATTTCATTCAGAAATGTTGTATTTCTGAATGGGTATTTTGAGACTCAAATCTCATTTTTTGAAAAATTGGCAAACAAACCTCTTGCTCACGTTGTATTTTTCACAAAATCTTTCACTAAAGAGAACAGCAGTATGACTACTATTGTATGCTGGTCACTGCCATTCTTATTACAGCAAACCATAGCCAGGTCTTAGTAGGCTGTGGAGAATAAAATGAGAATAAAATGAACTTTGAATTAACCAGGAAGAGTAGGTATCCACCTAGAAGAGGGCAGTATAGATAAGATTTGAATAGCTTGTGAAGAAATCTGGAGTGGTAATAGGTAGCAGTTCTGTAGATTAATGAATAGTAGAGTAAGCATTCACACTTCTGCACTTACAGACAAAAAATGAATCCCTGCTTTGCATCAGTAGTGGAAATGAAGGAAAGAAGGATTGCAAAAACATACTAGACCAACATAAAGCTTTCTAGAAAAAAAATATGGAGGACCCTAGGATGATCCAGGTTGGAAGGGACCTCAATAGTTCAAAGTAGGGTCTGCTATGAGATAAGACCAGGCTGCTTTGTCCAGTCAGCTCTCGAAAAACCTCCACGGATGGAGCCCACCCAGCCTCTCTGGGCCGCCTGTTCTACTGCTTGACTGTCCTTGTGGGGGAAAAAGCTTCTCCTTCTATCTAGGAAAGACATGATAAAAAGGCTTAAGGAAGCATAGCACTGTTTAAGCCGAAGATCATCAAGTGGTGTTTTTAGTACAGAGAAAATTGAAAGCTAGCAGTCACGGCCTGGTTGCCTAAGCCTGGCCACCTGGACCATCCCTGTCCACACACCCACTTACTTCCCCTTTGGACTCTGCTTTGGGGTGGAAGGGCCAGAGGAGGATGGTGTCCTGCAGCCAGCACAGGAGCCAAGGGTGGGAGGCCTGGCAGGGCTTTCTCTCCCCGTCCAGCCCAACCTCTGCCACCCTGGCTGGGTTCTGCCATGTTGCCAAAGTCACCTAGCAGGAAGGCCACTCCTGGCCTACAACTGGGACTCGTGCCCAAGGCTTTCACAGAATGGTTTAGGTTGGAAGGGACCTTAAAGATCATCTAGTTCACCCTCCCTGCCATCGGCAGGGATCCCTCCCACTAGACCAGGTTGCTCAAAGCCCCATCCAACCTGGCCTTGAACGCCTCCAGGGATGGGGCATCCACAACTTCCCTGGGCAACCTGTTCCAGTGCCTCACCACCCTCAGAGTAAAGACTTTCTTCCTAATGTCTCATCTAAATCTAAGCTCTTTCAGTTTAAAACCGTTACCCCTCATCCTATCCCTACACTCCCTGATAAAGAGCCCCTCCCCATCTTTCCTGTAGCCCCCTTTAAAATCATAGAATTGCTGACGTTGGAGGGGACCTTTAAGATCATCAAGTCCAACCATCAGCCTACCCTGACAAAACCACCTCTAAACCCTGTCCCTCAGTACCACACCTACCCCTCTTGTAAACACCTCCAGGGATGGCGAATCCACCACCTCCCTGGGCAGTCTATTCCAATGTTTTAATAACCCTTTCAGTGAAAAAATGTTTCCTAATATCCAATCTAAACCTCCCCTGACATAACTTGAATCCTTTTCCTCTCGTCCTATCACTTTTCAGGTACTGGAAAGGTACTATCACTTTTTTAGGTACTGGGAGGGGCTATAACGTCTCTCCGGATCAACCCTTCCTTCCCAACCACGCGTGGTTTATAAAACACGCCTCTTCTCCTCCTGCACCTTCTCCCCGTTTATTTTCGGGCCGCCGTCATTGTTACG